GAATTTTCGAACTTCAAATCTCAAACTTTTTTCTAAAGTTCAGCTCACATCTAAAATCAGAAAAATAATAATATCATTTCCAATACAAAATTAAACAATAGGAATCAACAAAACAATCATTTCGTACTTGAGTAGTAGATCTATAACATTCCAGAGAAAAATCTAGGGTTTCACAAAAATTAAACCAAATTCACAAGTGTACATAACATATATAGATAGTGATAGTGGTTTTACCGGGAATTCTGCCGCAGCTAGTGTCTCAAACTTCACACTCACTGTGTATATATAAATTGCAAGTATTTGTTTGGGAGTGGTTTATTTATCAATTGAATAATAAGATGCGATGAAGGCTTTTTCTCTTTTTCTTTTTGGCTCCAAACAAGGATATATTCCTCCATTGGTCTCCATTTATTGTTTAAGTAGCGAGTTAGTCCTTAATCTTCAAAAATTAACAAATTGATTCTCAATCTTTCAATAAAGTTATACAAAGGCTTGATTGCACAAAATGTCACTACATTTGGCATGTAGTGTGCAAAGCGTTCCTACGTTTCAAATTTTTGCATTTTCACCCATATTTCAACATTTCATTGCGAAAAACGTCATTTTACCTATTTTTAACGTAAAATGATCAATATACACTCCTATATAAATAAAATAAAAAAGAAAAATAAAGAATAAATTGTAATCTTACTCCTAAAATTTTTATAAATTAAAAGAAAAAGAAATGTGTCCCCACCACTCTCACCCCACTCGATCCCACTGTACCTTCTTCTTCTCCCACGACCACAGCCATCATCGATCATCGCCACGGCCACAACCACGATTACTTCACCAACATTGTATATTATCTCTCACCTTATAGTACTGCCAATATTACTCCTCCTCAATTGGCACCCAACAACACAGAAATTGGCATGCGTCTCTCTCAGTACTCGACATTTATATTAGCAAAACCAATGGATAGACACATGAAAATTGAATGAATGAAAACTCAAAAGCCTGTTGACACTATATTTTCTCCTCTTATCCATTCAAGATTAGGATTCAAAAGTCAAAGGAAGCTTACGGTTTCTTCAAGAAAGGTGGATCCTTCCTGTCATTCCGGATAAGAAAAACCACTGATACCTCCGAAGAAACCCAAGAAGGGAATTCAGGCAATTCGAATCCTTCCCACTCTTTATTTTTCTTCTTTTTTTGTCTTTATTTAAATAGAAGGGTATATTGGTCATTTTACGTTAAAAATATGTGAAAATGACGTTTTCAGCAATGAAATGTTGAAATATGGGTGAAAATGTCAAAAAATGAAAGATAGAGACGTTTTGCACAATGACATTGAAAGGTAGGTATGTTTTGTGCTATTGACCCTTTTTGAAAGTATTGAGATGAAAAGTTAAAAAACTTCCTTATCTTATTTTCTTGGGTAATTTTGAAAACTAAACTACTTTTCTTTAGAACATTGAAAAATATCCATTTTTTCTATTATTTGATTTATTGTGTTCGGTATTCGGTACTAAACAAATACTATAGTGAAACAAGTAATATTCTAATTTCTTTTTCATCTTTAATCATGTTTTGTCTTATCTAATCCAACATACTAAGAGGGTGTCTGGTGGGGATTAAAATTGAATTTTTAGTAAATTGTGATAGAAATTTTTGAAATGTGTGGTTGAAAAATTGTGGGACCCATAAAAAATGTGGCTAATATTGATTGTTTGACTTTGATTTTGACTAGGGCTGGGCAAAATGTCCGAACCGAACCGAACCGAGCGGGTTTTTTAAAATGAAATACCCGAACGGGTATCCGAATCGAGAACCGAATGGTTTGGTTCGGTTCTCGGTTCTCGACCAAGAACCGAATAAGAACCGAACTTTTTTTTTTATATTGGATAAATTAATTTCTTTTATTTTTTCTAAACAAATTAATAACTTTTTTCTTATTAAATCTTATTAGTTGAACAATTTAGAGTTTATTTATGCTTGTTAGTTGTGTTTTTTTCAATTTTTTCTTATATAGTTTCTTAATAGTTAGTATGGAAAGTCAACCAACTAATAATTACATTAAATAGTTGGTAAGTATTATCAATACTTTAAAATATTTTATATTTGTGACTTCTAATTTATATTTCACTTTTATGTAGATTTGAAGGTTTGAAGCAAATGAATTATTGATATGAATATCGAAGTTTTATTAGTAATATTTACTTTTTGGTATTTGTATTTGACAACTTATTATTTATATGTTATTAAATTAGATTACGTTAATTTGTAAAAGTTAAGATTGAACTTGGTATTTGTATCTA